CTCTAGGTGTACTTTGCGTCTCTGCTGCAGGAGTTTGATTTCTCAGAAAGGCTCAGAGACGTCCCTCGTGCTTCTAGAGACCGCTCCTGCTGCTGTCAGGAAGCTCGCTCATCACGACAAATGGTCCAAAGTCTGTAAATGAATGAGAGCTCCCGGGGCTAAGTGCAGATCTCACTAACCTCTTGGCCCAAGTTGAATTTTGAAGGCTGCCTGAGGTGTACTGCCCAGGGCAGGTCTCCTGCGGAACAGGCCACTCACCCTCGGCAGCCCGGGCACGCACGGGCCTTGGGGCTCTGCTGCATAGACACGCACTTTACCAAAAGGAGTGCATTTGCTTGCTTTCCTTTTTTTTTTTTTTTTTTTTTTTTTTTTTTTTTTTTTTTTTTTTTCGGAACTGGGGATTGAACTCAGGCCCTTGTGCTTGCCAGGGAAGCGCTTATTGCATTGAGCCATCTCCCCAGCCCCAGTGTGCATTTTCTTGAAACCAACAAAATCTAGCTGAACTCCAAGGTACAGCCACAAGTTAAGACAGGTGTGTGTGTGTGTGTGTGTGTGTGCGTGCGTGTGTGTAGTCATGTGTGTTTGTGCGTGTATGTGTGTGTGCGCGCATATACATGTACACTTGCACGTGCATGTTTTCTGGTTAGCAGATTTTTGCAATTTGTTTTCAGCACACTTGGTGCACTGTAGAGATGAATAGCTACCTAGAGCTCCCTCAAGCCTCAGCACTTGTAGGGCCTGAAGAAGGTGCCGGCTGCGGAGGCTCACAGCTGACTCCTCCTAGGAGGTGGAGCTGGCCGGAGAGACTCACAGGCTGGGCCTCTCCAGTCCCTGCTCCCACTCTTCTCCCTGCTTCCTACTCTCTGTGCTGTGAGCAGCTCTCCTCCCCCAGGCCCTTCCACTGTGATGTCCCGCCTGGAGCCGGCTGACCGTGGACTGAACCTCTACAAACCATGAGCAGCCATGAGCCTCTCCTCCTCTCGGCGGTGCATGTCGGGCACTGTGTCTGGGGGCTGAGAAGGTGACTAAGATAGCCACATAGTCAGGGCCACCACCTCCCCAATAAACCTGTTTTGTGTGAACACTACAAGAGGATGAGACAAAAGCAAGCACCCATCAAGCAGCACCGCCCCGGGGCCTCAAGAGCCCACAGGGGGCATTCGTGCCGGCTCCTGAGAGGAGCCTTGCGCAGCTGGCCAGCCCTGGCTGGGACTTCTTCCAAGGTACTTGTAACCAGCTGCAGGCTCGATGCTTTCGATCTAAATTTGTGCCCCTCCTAAGAAGTTACATCTCCAGTTCACCGCGTGCCCCTCAGGCACCCATCGTGGTCTATGATAGGGCCTTGGGAAGCAGCTGGCATTGCAGGGAGAACCGGAACAGAAGTGGAGACCCAGGACCCCTTCTCCCCTGTGGCAGTCTCCTGCTGCTCGAGCAGAGAAAGATGCCTGTTTGGATCTTGGAGGAGTTTCCAAGGTTTCTATCAGTGAAATTTAAAAGCCACTTACTACTGTTTCCTTTATATTCAATAAATCATAAAATATATGTATATAGTATGTTGGTCCTGCTTTTCACAGCATCAGAGCAGCCCCAAGGAGCGACTTTCTGCCCTGACCTCCATCCTATAGCCAGAACCATGCGCACCACCGTGGCTGATAATGCTATGGTAACCGGATGAAGAACCATCCATGGGATGAATAAAGCACACCTCTGGGCATGTGGGCGTGGGTGGTGGAGGTGGGCCTGGTGTGTGTGTGGGTGG